TCAAAAGGAAAAAAAAAAAAAAAAAAAAAAAAAAAAAAAAAAAAAGCCAACAAGCTAGATTTTGTATTAAAAAATAGGGTGAATTTTCCATACCCTGCAGCATTCAAATGAAGGATATATAGACAATGAGAAATTAACTGAATAGTCATTACAATACAAGTAAATTATTAAAGTAAACCATTATAACTAGACATAAATTCCACTTTTGTTTATTGTGCATCCACTAGTGTCAGTCCTATTCAAATACATTATTTAACTGTATTTACTCCTCATAAAATTTCAGTGTGTTAGTTATTTTTGACCCCTTCTAAGGATGGGCACACCAAAAGCTCATAGGTGATAAACAACTTGGCCTAACATCAGACACTTATTTGCCAAGTGTTATCGAAAATATGCTAAAATTGGTATATAAATCCAGTTTTTCTGGCTTATGTTAGTGCCCTTTCCATTATTCCACGCTATAAATGTTATAGTGCTGCTCACCTAATATGAGCCATTTACTTCATTATCTAGGCTCCCTTTATGTACATACATTCATATTTTAAAATATGAAATGGACTATCATCTTAGTATCAGAAACTTGTAACTGATGAGCCACAAACTCTCTGGGTCAGATATGTTGGTCTTACTCCTATCGTGCATTCCCTTCCTCCCTACAAGTGGTAAAGAGTTCTATACCAATTCCTTTCTCCTCAACCAAGGCTTCTTAATTAACCCTGGCATTGTTGACATTTTGGACTAGATGCTTCTTTGCTGTACAGGCCTGTCCTGTGCATTGTAGGATACTTAGCAACATTCCCTGGTCTTAATCTACTAGATGCCAGCAGCAACACCCAGTGTGAAATCAAAAATGTCTCCATAGTTTTTGCCAGATATCTCCTGGGAGGCAAAATTGCCTCCAGTTGAGAACTACTGCTCTAAACTCCATATTAAAGGAAATAACTATGAATGTAGTCCCTCTGCTCAATTTCTTATTTGCATATTAGGGATTTCAAGCAATCAATTATTTAGGCATTATATTAGTCAGAAAAAGACAGATAATGCTGTGGTAACAAACAATGCCAAAATTGGCTTAACACAGCCAGCCATTAGCTCTCTAGGGCAGCTGTCCTCCCTGATGTGGCTAAACCTTCCAGGCTGCTTCAGTCTTTTAGAAGCTCAATATCCACACGTGCTTTCATGATCATTGCAGCAGGGAGAGAGAGAGCATGAGGAATCATGTGTAATGCCTTAAATATGTCCCTCTGAAAGTGGCACATGTCATTTCAGTTCACATTTTGACAAAAGCAAGTCACATGGCCATGGCTAACTTCAAGGCAGGGAGGAAGTTTAGTGAGAGGGAATACTGGTGAGCATCAGTAATTTCTACCATAGTTAGCTAATAACTATAGTCTGAATGCCCTATAATCAACCTAGTTAAGTTCTAGGTGGCATGATACAAGTAAAGTTTGAAATACAGTATCTACCCTTTGGTTCTGGTGAGAATGTACACATGTGAAATAATTAGTGAGCAAGGTGATTGTATTAGTTCATTTTTTGTGTGAGAAAATACCCAAGACTGGGTAATGTATAAAGAACAGAGGTTTATTTGGCCCACAATTCTGGAACAGCTGCATCTGGCGTGGACCTCAGGCTGCATCTATTCATGGCAGAAAGTGGCAGGCAGCCGGTGGGTACAAGCAGATCACATGGCAAGAAGAAGCAAGAGAGAGAGGAGGTGCCAGGGTCTTTTAAACAACCAGCTCTTGTGGGAACTAATAGAGTGAGAACTCACTCACTACCCTCCTCCCCCAGGGAGAGCATTAATTTATTCATGAGGGATCTGCCCTCATGACTCAAACAGCTCCCAACACTGCTACAGTGGGGATCAGACTTCCACATGAGTTCTGGGAGGACAATACATCCAAACACTGTCAGTGGTATATACTATATGCAATAAGTTATAATACTTGTAATATGCATTAAATTTATATATTGATTTGTAAATATTTAGTTTTGTGATATTACATTTTATGAATTTGTCCTTCAATTGAAGAGCCCAGTATGTCTCGCTATTTTTTAAATGTCTTCCAAAAGAATTTTATAGTTCTTTCTCATTAAATGTATGCCTAGATGTTTTATAATTTTGTTATTATTTTTGAATGAGATTTTTCCCCTGCTCTACTTCTTCCTGGTTATTGCTCTTTGACTTTTGTCTATTTTTCCTCATCTAGATATCTTAATGTTAATAGTTTAGATACTCCTCATAGCTTTTGTAGTTGAATCTTTTAGGGAAATGATTCTCAAGGTTTGGCCCCTGAGCCAGCAGTGTTAGTATCACCTGGGAACTTGTCAGAAATCCAAATTCTTGGACTCTTAACTCAGACCTACGGAACCAGAAACTCTGAGTGTGGGGCTTAGCCTCAGAGATTTTTAGATATAAAATCACACCTGAAAAAATGATGATAATGTTTTCTCTTTTTTATTGATAGTTATATTGGTATTTCTTGTTTCCTTGTAATATTAGAGGAAATGTGTAGAAAAATATTGGGTACTAATGTAATAAATCTTGATTTTGATTTTATTTAAAAGAAATTGATTGTTAGTTTCTGATCTTTAGCATGTTTAAAAGGTCTCATACTATTTTAAATTTTTACATAGAATTTTAAACAGGAATGACTTGAATTTGAAGAAATGTTTACCAAATTTATTGATATAGTTAGGCGAGTTTTTTCCTTCAATTTGTTAGTATTTGAAATGTGTTGACGGGTTTCATAATGTTGAACCATGTATGCATTCATGGAATAAGTATAACTTGGTAGGCTTATTTTACCAAGTGGCTAGATTTGGTTTGCTAATGCCCATTTCCTGGCATTCTAGT